ATTGCAACACTGGAGCGAAGAAGAAAAAAAAATGGGAAACGTCTCCGAAAATGCTATAAATTTGTTGTTTTCTGTTTGTCTCGCGAAAATGCTGGCCGTATTTCAGACGGAAGTTATGCAATTATTTTATTTATTAATGCATGTTATTTGGGTTGATGTGTGTTTTGTGTAGTGGCTGTCATCGATAGGTTCGTTGTTTAGACGTGGCTTAATAAATTTTCCCATTGTATGGTTGGTTCATACCATTTTTATGAGCTTCGTTCTGCATTGTACCCATCTCCATTTGATTCTCTCGCGCAAAAATATCACCGATACACCGATTCGACGTAGTTGTTTCACATAAATATATTTATGTATTTGGTGCATTCTTTATTCGGTTGTCGCATTGCCATTCAACGGCTCCGAAGTAATCCGTTCATAGATTCCGCTGTGCCACAGGTAACAAAATACTGGCACATTCGAACAAGGCACCAAATAGACTCTTCTGATATTTGTGGTGTTGTGCCCGGTGCGCTGCCGTTGCTATTGTTGCATTCGGGTCGTATTCGCGCATCGGTATTTATGGTAAATTACATGTTAGTCGCGTTCGCTTTGTGCAATGATAATTGTTGGCATTATTTATTGTTATTATCGCTGTGACAGGTAAAATGCTAGAGCATATATAATTCATACTAATTATGTGCACTCGAATTCGGTGCAAAACGAAATGAACAGCACAACTAACTCTATTACAACAGCACTAAAATCAAATTGAATGGACTTATTCTTGTTATTCATTTTAAAGGGCTTTTCGTTTTGTTGTGGCTCCAATTCAGAAACTACTCACTCACTCAATTACGGGTGTAATATGCGTTAATTTTTGGCGCGAAAACATCCGTTGCTCTTAATTTACTTATTGCGTTTGCTACACTGGGAACTATATTATTTATGCACTTGACGAGAGATAGAGAGAGGGGGCATCAGTTAAACGATAAAACCAAAAAAAAAATGTATACAGTTTTAGAGTTTCCGAAGCTGAAAATTTACGAGATCTCATTAAATTAATTATTGCACACTTTGCAGAGTGTGTATCTGTTGACATCATTTCGGGAATCGGTGCTAATAAGTTCGTTGAGTGGAAATAACCGGTTGAAAATGTGCACAAAAAACAGGTAAATAAGAAATTATGTAATTATTTATTATAAATGTCACACATTTTGTATGCAAAATTACATTTTCATTGCGATGATAACGCACAGAACAACACGATGAGAATGATAATGGCATTATATTTGGAAGTGCCACACTTGCCACTGGTCTTAGCAGCATATGGCAAGCGCCAAACGTTGTTTTCATCTAATTATGCTTAATCATCATCATTCATCATTATATCGAAGTCCGATGCTAATTACGACCCATCATAAAAATACACTATATAGATGTATATATTTTAAAATTTTACCGGTTCCGCAGCGTGTTTTAACCCATTCGTTCTCGTTTTTAATTACAACTTTCTGCAATTTAATGCATAATGATTTTCTCGCATTAAGGATTCTCCGACAACAATTTAACGACAACCGTTACCGAGAGAAAGAGAACGGCGGTGAAAATCTATGTGCATTTATTTTTCCACGGATACTTTGCATAATCGAATAAAGAGTTAATCTTTTCGGAGGTCGATACAAGCATAAAAACATTCTAATCAAATAAAATCTCAAAGTTTTCCATTCGCTCTCTCTCAATCAAATTGAATTATAAGCCGTAAATCTTGTGCATTTTCATTATCATTCATTGTTAAGTGGACGCGATTCATTGCATAGATTTCGACTTCATTTAATGGTTTTCTATTTTTTTTTGCCCCTCTAATTTGCAATATATATTTTTAGCTCGAAAAAAAGAGCTAAATGCGGCCACTCACTTCACAACCATATCGATGCAATTTATTTCAGCATCGCATGTTCCAATGCACCATTTCATGTTTTAATGATATGTAAATAGTGAAATAAATAATGGTACATTATAATAAATGTAAACTGCTTTTGTTTGTTTTTTTTTCTGTTCGTATTTCTTCTTCGTTCATTCTTTCTCTTTTGGTGTATATTTCTATCTCTGGTGCTGTCGAGAGGTTGTTTGCCGATCGAAGCATATACATGACAACAGGTGACCAAACATACATAATCTTCACTCGAACTTGCAAAAATACGCATTAAAGAAATGGAACGAAACAATCTTTTGCTAGCAAAGAAAAAAGCAGCAACACTCCGACAATCAACTCGATCTGTGAATCTTGTCGATTTCTCTCTCCTTACGTTTAGTCGCTTTTTGTTCGCCGTTTTTCAGCAGCTCGTTTTCAATGCATTTTCGAAGAGTTTTCTGTTGTTTTGTTTTGTTCTCCATTTAGATTTCAATATGTCGCTGCAAATAGTGGTGCACAGACGTTCGATTTGGACACTAATTACATTCGAAAAATACCATGAAAACGCACATTTGACTACTCTTTATAAAATTACACACCCAAACAATCGAAGAAAGGAAGCAAAACAGGTGTAAACGACAATTGGTCTACATTTTAATGTTGAAATGATCGCTTTTCAGCATTTACAGCAAAATAAATTGATGCAAAGAACACTTATTTGATTTTTATTGTTTGTAATTGTGTTGGCGTGTCATTTGCGTACAATGTTGCAAACCAAAAATAATGGTTTTGGGTCATTCATTTTACGTTTCCTTGGAATTTACAATTTAAACACAATTTACAATTCCAAACCAAGCAAATTATTACAATTGCAACACATTGAACATTATATTGCAGAATTTATGGCTTTTCTTCCCCAAACAATTCGGTTAGTTTGAAAGTCCGGCACTTTTCAATTCAATACATGCTACGAATTGTGCGGTCAACCGTTGATTCAAACTTCTTGGTAAAGGTAACAAAAACCTTTTGAACGTTGTTTTTTTGAAGAATTCAATTATAATCAGCGCATTTAATCATCATATCAAGGATGACGGACTCACAAATAAGGACAGACAAAAAAATAGAGAAAGCAAAAATATAAGAACAACCGTAATAAAATACGAAACTTTTACAATTTCATAAATGTGAGTGCATTGCAGAGTATGTGGTAAATGGCAACCACATGAAATGAAGTGAACACTTTGAAACGCTTGCTACTGCTGCTTTAGTGTGTGTGTGTTCTTGAAGTATGAAAAAAGCTATAAAAGTATTTTCATATATTTCTACTTTCTTTTTAATTTGATGCTAGTTCTAGGTTTTTTTTAAATTAGTTAAAGGAAAGTTTTTGATTTGAAATATTTTTTTCTCGAGCAAACCGGAGCAGCAAGCGCATTTGAAGAGAAAGTCATTTCAAAAGAAACTATCAAAAGTCATTCATTACGACCAGTAAATTGAAGATGTTCTGTGAAGATTATTGAACCACCGATTACAGTTGGTTTTGCACAGCAGTGAACCAAACTTTTGACCTTTACTGGCCAAAAAACCAGCTCCGACAGTTTATTGGCTCCTGCATTTGTCTCGTAGCGCAGACACACCATAAAAACGATACTATTTAAATCACGATCTGTTTAAATTTCTATGAAAGATGTTAATGTAAGTGTATTCAAATAAATTCGGTTGCAAAGTTTCTGGATGCAAGCAATCTGTTACCAGTGAGTGTAAGACAAGTGTGTCTGGCGTCACGTTTTTTTTTCTTGCATTTTACAAACGACCGATGGGCGGACATTTTCTAAAGTTTAATTTTATGAATTCTTGAAAATATGTGTCTCTATCATTTGTAAAAGTGTTTACACTTCAAGTCGTTTGTCGGTTGTGGTGAAATAACACAAACCGTTTTCAGTCCGAATGAGTGAAAAACAACAAAAAGAATCTTACCATTTAAATGAATTGAAGTGACACAGGCCATGAATTAAACATCAAATTTGGGATTTGACAAACTCGTTGTGAAGTTTTTTTTAACGTCTATACATAACGGAGATATGGTTAAGAAGCTTTCGAACAGCATTTGGTATGTTGAAAGTTCATTTTGTATGTAAAATAAAAGAAAAAACAAACAAACCGTCATTCTTCTACAATTCTGCAACAACAACAACTAAAAAATTATATGTAAAGCCATCCAAAACTTTCTCTTTCCATGACGATTTGATCTGAAATGGTTTTGCTTTTGTCCATCCTATTCAATGCGGAATCAGTCCTTTGAGAGTGGCTCAAAACTTACCCATTGTCAAGCTTATACAGCCTGGCCACACAACAATGGCATTCAGCAGTGCGACATAAATAACTACGGCCACGAAAACGATAAAATGATACAAATCGAGAGACAAAAAGGCACTTCGACGAAAACGTGAAACTATACGATAGAAAAAGTTTTACCCTCCCGAATGGAAAATGTTCGCTCTATCTCTTCATTTTAATCCAGAGTCGAGCAAAAAAAACGCCAACTTTTGGTTCCATGCGAATGGCAGAACGTTCAGCAAACCGTAACCGAACTAATGTCGTATTTTCTATAGCCATTAGAAAAATTACTATAATCGTTTTTAGATAGTGGACAGTTCGTCGAGGGGTTGGCAACTCTAATGAGGATGTGTTACAAGTTTATTGGTTTTTTTTAGAGAAAGACATGAGCATTTGGTATTCAATGCACGAAGACTGACACAGGATACTAGTCAGAGCACAGATGCTGAGTGACATAACAAAATGAAGAGTAAAAAGTTTCAGTTCGAGCGAAAAAAAAAACTTTCAACAAAAAGAATGCTGTTGAACTCACAACTTATTCAGATGGGACTTTGTCTCTCGGTCAAGTTTTATCTGTTTCTTTACGTTTTTTCGTCTTCTTTGAACAACTCTAACAAGCACCGCTACTACAAATGATTTAATTAAAAAGAATATGTTTGCACAAACACAAAAAAGAAGAAAATAAAAGCCACGTTTTCACAGTTATACATATAAAGTTTTGTCCATTTTTAATGTTCGAAACTGATAATTGAAAATTTGTTTTTTTACGGAATAAATAAAGCATGACAAATAAATAAATGGATTTGTGTTTTTTCACCGATCAAAAACTGCTATCATAATGTTCATTTTTAAAATTGCTATCGATATTACTTGCAGATACTATCGTTTAAAAACTTATTCGCTATAAACTAAAAACCATTCATTGTATGCTGGGTTCTGTGTGGATTATTTAATGGTATGTACAAATTGTCTTGACGACTTTTTTTTACTTTTTGCTTTGCATCCTTATCTTTATATAGCTCATCTAAAATGATAATAATAATTACTATTCTATTTACATTATTATTACTCATCATCATCATGTTTCATTTAGAATATTTCATTTTTTTTCGTTCAATTTCTTCCTTTACGCTCTTCAAGCAGTAGAAATGCCATGTGCGCAAGTGGCACGTGGCAGAAATGGATTTTCGTTTTTGTATTTATTTCATTCTTGATATCAAAAGCGAGATTATTTGAATTGAAACCGTTATCGCCATTTGATTGGCGCTTACATTTTTGGTGTGATTCCGCGTTGAATTTATTAAGATATCGTGAAATCGCTAAGAATGGACATTTTAATCGACATCGAAAAATCGAAACGGCGGAATGTAATTATCTCGATCGATTTTAAACGTGTATGGCCGTCATTTGTTCTATTGATGTGGTCGAACCATTAAAATCCATTTCACAGTCATTAATGCTGGTGGTGCTGCTGCAACTGCTGTTGCTGCTTATCAAATTGGTTTTATCACAATACTTCTTATTTGATTTTATACGTTGCTTCACCGAAACTATCGTACAAATGACTAGAGTCACAACCAATACAAATACACCAAATACCGTTAGCATCGTTTCGATGTCGGTGTGCGTTATTTTGGTTACGGATGATGATGGCAACGTTTTCGATAGTTTGGCAGCGTCTCGAGATGTGGTTAAAGTGTCATGCACACTATTCACTTTATCGCTATTTTTGCCGGCTTTCTCAACGATACCAACATCATCGTCATCACCACCAGCAGCAGCCGAAGCAGCAGCATGCACTTTCATTTGATGATGTGCATTGTACAACGGTTTTGCGGTTATTTGATAATCATTATTATATTCATGTTGCTTCTGGTAATTTTGATGTCGTATGATGCTGGCAATTGCTTCTGTCTCATGATTATAGTCATTGTTTGCTTGAGCTGTTGATGCCGTTGTAGTTTTTGTCGCTTTTGTGTGCGGTTGTAATGATGCCGATGATGATGATGATGACGACGACGGTGATAGTGGTGGTCTTTCATTTTCCGCTAAATATTTACCCTTTTCTATACTTGCACCATTTGCCTCCGGTCTTCGACGCAAATCTGATTCTGATGAAGACTTTGTCGTTGTTTTCGTAAAAGCCATTGTGGTGTCGATCAGAATCGGCAACGATTTTGACATTTTGTGTGTATTCTGAAAAAAAGAGATGATAACGACACACAATTAGGTTAGTTTATGCGAACTTTTCAAGTGATATCAACTTATTTAGAAGCGAAAAACAATTAATATACGAAATGTTTTGCAAAATTTCGACGCATGCAGATTGCTGGAATTTAGAGAGAAAAATATAAAAATAAAACTCGACATTTTAATGAATTTTTGGCGAATTTCACTAATTAATGTGACATGAAATAAATGTTTTGGCATGAAAATTTTGCGAAAATCTGAATGTGCCCATACGAAAGTTGTTCAAAATGCATCGAAAAGTAGCATTTATTATTATTAACTTTATACATGCCCTCATGCTTATGGTGTACAATTTGATTGCCACTTTCGACTTCCGGGTACATTAAACGCGACTCAGTGTTATTTATATACATGGAAAATCGGAAGCAAAAGTAAAGTTTTACTTCGCCAAACTGTACAGACGATGGCATTTTCACCTCGATTCATTTTCACTTGACGAAAAAGATCAAATAAATTTTGTGTTTTTAAGGTAGCGCTTAATAAATGTTAGACGGTATTAGGTATTGTACAATTTTGATCGCTATCCGGGAAACTCATTAAAAACAACAATTGAACAAAGAACTAATCGCCTGGTGTGGTTGTGTGTATGGATCGCTGTAAATACAGTTGTAATAAATCACATACGATTAAATATGGTCTAGTGAAATGAGCTCGATAACGGTTAAGAATTATGATGTGGTCGCATGTGACACAAACATCATAAATAATAATTTGAATATTATTTTTTTCACGTTGAACAACTAGGGGCGTTTATTTTTCTACTCTCTCTCTCTCTCTTCGTTTCGCCATCCGCTAGTTTTGTCAATGGAAACATGAAAACTAAATTAAGTCATTACGTTCGAAAAGTTTATTTCTTCTCGGTTTTCTTGAACGGTAAAAGGTACCCTTAACACGTAATCGATATTACATGAATGTTGTGTGATTATTTGAATGGCTAAGAAACCACGAGTCACGGATCACACTTATCACGAAAAGTGTGAAACCTAAACGAAACATATCCATTTTGAAATCGACGACGATTTCCCATACCACCGCTTTCTTCGTTTCATTTTACCTTTTAAAAAGTCAACGCTTGTTAATATATTGTTCTAATGGTCGCATAAGCACTGTATGATTTTAAAATTATTTTTTTTTTTAAATAAGCCGGTTTTCCTTCAGTTTAAACTTAACGGTGTTTGGACGGCTCGCTCGACACAAAGACGTGTCAACACAGCTCTCTCTCATTTTCTCATTCAATCGCATTTTTCGTTCGGTTTTTTTACACAATGCTTGAGTTAATTACATTTAATAACTTAATGTTCATTCTCATAAGCCATCGAACAAGTTTGCATTCACAAGCTCATAGTAAAGCATGCCAACAACGTCTGTCTCGAATTGTGAATTGCACGCAATGCTCGGAAAATTGCTTGAATGAAATCGATACTCTCAACCTATTTTATGCAATATGGATAATGCGAAAAATACTTTTTTTTTCAATCTGAAAATCAATTGATTACAATTGTTCGAATAATTTGCGAGAGTTTTCCATTTCAATCCAGTAATCAACAAATTGTCACTTTTTTGTTTGAAAATTAAACGAATTAACATTTAATTGGGCAAAGTTGAAAATGATAAAGAGAGAGTAAAGCGAGAGAGAGAGGGATGGAAATAAAGGTAGAAATTAACATTTTTCCACAGTCTTCAAATTACCTTATTTTTGCATGTCACTTGAATGTGGTATTTCGAGTCGGGCCACAGAGATAGTTCAGCTTCATGTGTATCGGTGAGTAAGTTGCCCATGATTCCACCCCCGAAAATCTCCCACGATACGAGGCATTGGTGCTGTTGCGTCGGATCATCTGCATACCATGCAATATCGGCCATTGTTAACGACTTGTCGCGCACCATTGATCGAACCGAAAGCTCAAACACATCAGACGCATCGGTTTTTTCCAATTCAGAATTTTGATGTTCCACCATAGATGAGACACCGGAACGAGGCGCACAATTATTCCAACACTGTATCACAAAATGAAAAAAAGCATATACGGATTATAATATGAATTTTTTTTTCTTCATTAAAAAAATGTTTAAATTGAATTAATTAAAAAAAGTGCAATTTCATGCATGAGAAAATGCCGAATATGGATAATTTTAAGGCTTTCTCGAATAAAAAAAAAAGTTGATGAGAGTTGCAAAAATGTGACATTATTTCGAATGGTAATGTATAAAATCATAAAGTTTCATGCTGTTGTGAAATAAATTTCTGCTGAATGACACATAAAATTGTAATTATGTGACGTTTCTGACAGAAATCCTTTTGACATTCATCCAAAAAGATTGCCACGCAACAAAAAATATACACGAAATTTATTTATATATATATAAAAGTTGACATGAGTGCATATTAAATGACAGGGAAATGAAATATTTACTTCAATTCAAAAGTCATTACGACATGAGGATAAAAACAGAACGGTCAAAACAAAAGTAACATTAAATGAAGCACTGGTATGCACAGAACCGAACCGAAAAAAACTCACTGATAAAATTGCAATAAAAATAACTCATGCAGAGCGCAATGCATTTTCGGATGAAAATAGGTTAATACACAAAAACACACGGTGGAAATCAAAAGTTCATTAAAATGTATTTGAGCAAAACGAAAAAAAATATACAAGCAAGCAGTGATGAAAATGAGCTTAAACCTGGTTTAAGTCCTTTTCCCCATGTTATCTCTTTTATTATCGTAATTATAACTAATTCCTCAAGCACAAACGATAATGAACAGAAAAAGGCATGCAAGTTAAATGTGAAAGTGTTTTGTTGGGTGTATGTTTTTGTTATTTGTCGCATCACTAGATGCATTACTGCTGTGTGTGTGCTGTGTATGAACTCACCATCAGATTAACCGCTTCTGGGAAATTGTGAAATTGATATGGCGGAAAGTCACACTGCAAAAAAAAAGAGACCGGATACGAGACTATTGTAATATTTGTTTTTGATTGACCAACGGAAAAAAATTTGTAAACCAGAGTATAATCGAAACGGAAAATGAATGAAAATAAAACGAAATGTTTGGGCGATAATAATAATGTTATGCTAATGGTCGAAAGGGTAAATTGGTTTTATTTCTTGAAATGTGTGAAGAATGTACCAAAAAACATACGTACACACACTCGTCCAATTTGTTTTTACATGTAATTTCAGATAAAACAATATTGCGCCGTTGTGAGTATGTTTTACATATCCATTTACATGGTGTTGGATGGCGATAAAAGGGCGACAAAAAGAGCACATTACAACAGTGAACACAATGCAATGCGTCTCGATGTCGCAGACATTAGTAATGACATTTATTTAGTTTATTGTAAATTGTGCTCATAACTTTCATGTCGTGTTGCTTTTTTTATCATCCGGATGAAAAATATAGCAAGCGCCGATGTCGCCGATGGATAAGAATTATGATAATATTACACATTGAATTACGCATAAAAGTCATCCTTTTTTTACTACTCTCAAAATTTACATTTCACATTCCAACGAATTCAATGTTGGATTTTTATTTTCTCTCGAAGTGCCTTTACATTATTTGTGAAATCTAATTCGTTTTTAATTTGGCGTATCCCAGAAGGTGTCATTAAAAATATGTCAAATTGTGTGGATTTGCATATAGATCTTTTCATCCTCGCCTATAAACATTTCCAGTACAAATTTCGTAATAAAACAGCACGTTCCATTTAATTTGACCTTGAGTTCAAAGCTGTCGACCGCAATTTTTTTTGCTTATCTTGTTCACTTTTTTCTTTCTTCGTTCGAATTTGTATATATACCAAGAAATGCTGTTGCAAACACATTTTCTTCAAACAAACAAAGAACGAAAAAAAATAAGAATATGGGCACGAACCAATGTCCCGTTGGATCAAAGAAAAATAATGACGGTAGCCGTCTTTATCTTGCATATGTTCACCATTTGAAGGTCTTCCATTTCCAATTTTCATCATAATTTGTTTCGCATAAGGTTTTTGCGTCTACTGTTATTGCTGTTATTCTTTTTATGATTATTACTCGGTTTGTTGCTTCCATTTTCGGTTACCATTCTCTATGCTGACGATATCATTTATTGGAGCTGAGAGAATGTGAGGGAGGCATTCTCTGAATTGATGTCGTATGAATACTATTTTGCGTTTTAACATGAACCGAATAAAAACAAGCCCAATATATCGAGTCCCGAGCCCATGATTCGATGCGAATTTAAATGGTACAGAGATACTCAAGCGCACACATATATTCAGTTTTTGCATATTTTCCACATAAAATCGTCCATCGCAATTGAATTTGAGAGAAAACATCAAACTTATAAATTTTAAAGGAAACAGTTTGCTATCCGCTTATTTCAAACCAGCATCATTCCCTCTATCTACATCTCATTGGAGCTTCCGAATGGCAATGAACACTCGATGTCTCTCTCGCTTCCTCTCGATCTGAACATATGTGTGTTTACGGAAAACGAATCATATATCACGCGTTCTGGCCATAAACATTGTAGCTATCCGTAATTTTTCATATGAAATATGCTTTGCATAGCTAAACGAATTTTATATACACATACACGCCATTTCTGCTGATGATGTTGTTATTTCAAATTCAAAATCTGCCGTAAAATAAAAGCCACTTTCTCCGGCCACTTGCCGATTATTATTATTATGATTGTTATCTTTATCATTTATTGGCCTGTCAAAAGCCAAAAGCATATAACATCTCACTGACAGCGCATTTCCCTTTGGAATTCTCCCATGAGATACATTGAGAGAACGAAAGAAGAGAGAAAGCAGGCATGCCAGGCCATATAAACGGACACAAAGCCAAATCATTGACCTGTTTGGAAGCGTCGACCATAAAAAAGTTTCAGTTTTTTTTTGTCAGAACGGCAGTAACAATGTTTCAAATTTCATTTTGCTTTAAAAATTTGATGGGCAAAAGTGCTGTCATTATGATTTTCAAGATCAATTTTTCAGCAGCAAAAATAAAACAAAATATACGAAAAATACCACATGAAACATTTTTCGAAGTGAAAACTTTTGCAACGTTTAAAGACTCTCACATTTTTCGCGCTCAATCAGTTTTAATTTGCTTTTATCGCCTGAATAGACAAAGCTGTGGTGAGAATTTATATTCAAATTCAAGGTTATGCATAGAATCGAGCAAAAGAAAATTCCACGAAAAATATCAAGTGACCATACCAGCAGTGCTGAGTGCCAATTTATGCAGAAATTTCATTACTTTTTCTACCCGCATCTTCAACATTTGAATAAATACCATTTTTAGTACACCATTTCTATTCAAAAATTTCAAAAATATATCAACGTTTCTCGGATAAATTAACAATTTATAACTGAACCTTAATGCCGAACAGCGTGGCTCAAGCAGCTTGAGATCCAAAACTTATTCACAATTTTTTTTGTTCGTTCACGTGAAAGTCTCGAGAAATATGATGTACATAATATGTGCAAAATTATAAAGTCTATTGCATTTTATAGAATTATCTGAATTTTCGTGATCAAAAGTAAGCTCTGAATGTTTTATACCTCAATAAAGTCGAACAAAAAAATTCCTCTAAATTTATTCGCATCATATCAAAATTCCATGGCTGAGTTAGCATGATTTTGCATACGAAAATGACATTGAAATGAATGTAGATGTACATGCAATGCAGACTATGTCTGTTTTTATTGCAAATACTATTTTCATGATATTGTATACAAATATAACAAAAGGAACCCGTGCCAATATTTTCGGTGCTGATCTCTCGTTCGCAAGCAATGACAGGCAACAAATCACAGACATTTTGAGCCGAATTAAAGTATCCGAAAAATGGAAAGTAAAATTCATTGTGAACGGTAATCGTCTGTGAGTGGAAGCAAGAAAAAAAACTGAAACCATTGTCGCGGAAAATTACATTATCATATCATATTTTTCTTACTGGCACCAAGGGTGAGTTCAAAATGATACTCTTTGCTGGAGGGGCTCTATGCCAAGAAGAAGCTACAAAAGGCCAAGATCCAATCAGTTTGGATTATTATAGTCGTTGTTAGTGATGTTAGAATATTATTTATAAACAAATTACAGAAATCCTTTACTTATTCATATAAATGTTCATCGATTGCAAAGCAACTGTGTCTGCAGTTCTATTTTAGTTCCGTTCAGCACGACGTATTTCCACGTCAAAGCTAAAAAAAGACATTGTAGCATTCTTTGGTGGAAAAACTCGCTTTTGACCGAACTAACAAACGAAACTGAATAATTGAGATTTCATTTGTGATTTTTCCATAAATCACACAGAAAAGGAAAATATTTTTGTACTGATTGTTGTTACAGCAAACACATGTATAGAGAGTAGTTGTGTGCACGTTTTTGTGATTGAATTGAATCGATAATAGGTCGATTTGAAATTTTTATTTGAAGTGTTCACAAATCAATAAATATTAAATCAGTTCATCACATTTGGAAAACAATGAACGCGATGCGAGAATGAAAGAGAGAGAGAAAGGGTACTGAACACATTGTTGGGAAAAAACAGAGTGAGTGTATAACGAGCCGGTTATTTTTTCTCGTTTGATTGTGAAATTATTTAAACTCGTGCATTGGTTGTCAAATTGAAGGCGGCGCGCGCGTTTAAGAGTGAATAAAAAAAGCGAGGCTGACAAATCGAACAAGAGTGATATTGCTGTAATAAATCTTTATTTTTATGCTGAATCAACAATTTTTATCTCGATTCCATTTTGTTCCGTTTTTTTTATTATTCTATTTTGAATTTATTTTGCAATTCATATCGTTTGTGTTGCAAATGATTGCGACCGTTTTGGACTTTTTTCTTTCGTTTCTTTGTTTTCCTTTCATTTGCACGAGTGAACAATCATTTTTTTCTTTTTTTTCTCTCTTTCTCTCTCTGTCTTTCTCATTTAACCAAATGCGAATTCCGCATTCATTTGAATTCAGTTTGCCTTTGCGTTTCGTATGAAAAATATGCAACTGTAAAGGAAAAAAAATCAACACAAAACGAATCATTCGAGCAAAATAACGACAGCACAAGCTGAAAAAAAAAATTGAGAAAAAAATATTCCACCAAAGTGATCATATAAAAATGTGTATGAGTTTCCGATTTGGATATTGATGTGGTGTGTGTTGCATTTGAAATTGCAGTTACAGTAGCGCATTAATAGTGCCATGAATGGCAAAGTGCTGAATGCATTTAAGCAATACAAACATGAGCAACGACAGCATCATCATTTGTCCGAATGAATAATTCCATGTTATGAATGCAGTCAGCGCGCTCAACAACTAGACACCATAATTTGAAAACCAAAAAGCGCTTACTTTCTGCGAAATTCAAATAAAGAACAAAATCAAACACCATTGATATATTTTAGCTATTATTGCCTATGAATATTGTATATTGTTTGTCGAGTCCATCGGCAAACGAGTCGAGTCCATCGAAAACTAAAGGTGGTGCATTTGATACAGATGAGTTATCATTTGAAAATCATACATAGACTATGCACGAACTATCCATTCGATTCACATAATAATAATCATCATCCGTGGTCGACGGTGCACTTCATCGCCGTTTCCAATTTCCTGTGCATTCGGTCTCTCGCACACACATCCCAGTGAATTGTTCAATGAAGCACATTGAATGTACATGTTGAATCTATGGAGAACATGATTACAGTCCGAAATATATGTGTGTTGCGGATCAGTTAAATACATACTTGAAAATCCAAACGAATTTTCCACATGAAGTGTTCGCAATGTGTTGAAATATTAAAATGAAATTCATTAACATATACACATCGAATTTACAGTCCTAATTCACATTTTATCTAACCATGTGAAAGATTTTGATGATTTCATGTATGTTTGTGGCGTTTATTCATATTCAGATCTGTCATTTAGTCATATGGGTATGAACCTTGGAGCCGATTTTCGGCTTGTTCAATGAATTTCGAACAATTATTTACTTTTGATCTCGTTCACAAAATTAATATGGGACTCGTTTGGAAACGTTTTCTCCGAAATTCTACAGAATGTAATTGATATTTGAAAATTTCCGATTTTCGTCAGAATTATTTTTGGAAATTCTTGTGAAACTACAGGTTGTGCAAAATACACTTTTCTATTTTCCATGGAATCAATTACTCAATTTCATTTCGATATATGTGCGTTCTATGAAACTTGGTAAAACAAATACTGAGCTTTCCACATCTGACTGCACAAATTTCAATTCGTCTCGACTTTTCAACGAATTCAATATTAATTTTTATATTTTAGCAAATATGTAATTTCCAGTAGCAATTTGCCACAAAATTCACCCAAAACAGGAGAAAATCTGAAAATATGCCTTGAGAAGATTGAAAATGATATCGAAATACGTACGGCCTTCCTTGCCCTGCATAGCTTGAATAAGCTTTAGTCATTTGAATTAGGATTGTCAAAGCAATTTGAAAAAAAAATGGAAAAAAACCCGAATGGTCGGAGTCCGATGGTAAATGCGATTTTTTCGTATTATTTCCAACAATATATTTCATATCTGAATTTGTTCGAAAATTGATCTTTGATGTTTGTATTATTATTATTCTAAATTTTGAAATTCGCCACAAATACATTTCGAAAACGAATCGCAAATCAAGTGTAAAACTTTTTACAATTCATATCTAACTTCTGCCATTCGCAACAACTTTCGATAATTTTCTATTACTACAAATATGTTTTCATCGAGATTCATTTTTTTCCATAATTTACCCGACGAAATCAGGCCAATTGAAACGAAAACTATTTTATGCACATTCGCATCGATTATCGTTTCCCCTATGCATCTGTGCACTGTGTGGCTTTTTGTCGAAAAACTAGTGCAAAATCTGGAAAAATAGAGAGAAAATGTGTTTGGTTCGATTTTTGTGCGAGTGCCAATAAAAAAGTCACATAAACACTTGTGAATTCATTTCACTTCGATGTTCAGTTTGTTGTAGCAATTTGACGTAAATTGCCAATATGTGACACATCTTCCGTTGCTGCAGCAGCTACTGTTCTCGTAATCATCGCAAAAAAGCACTAACTTATGTACAAGAATCTGTGCAATAGATTTTTTTTGTTCCAATTTTTTGTCGCTCTCTCTCTCTTGTTCGCTCGCTCGTGTTTCGTGTTGCCAAAGAAAATGTTTTCAGTTCTAATGGAAATAGTTTTCTTCGTTTGAGCGAACGCTGCTGCTGCAACAATCAAAATGACAAGACATTAGGAGTAACATATGTTTCTACACTCGAAAAAAAAATAGAACCGAACGAGAGAAGAAAAATGTGGAGCAAGAAACAATCTTTCGATTTTTCTGAATGTGTATTTTTCACTGTTTCCATTAGACGAAAGTGATGGCACAGTTTTCCACATCGAGTTTAATGGCGTTAATTATGCTGACCCAAAATAGTTTTCAATGAAACGATGACGATACGGGTCTTATATTCATTTGGTCATTCATTTATTCGACCGTTAAAACACTTTTACAGCAAATGGATTTTGGCACCGAACAACGAAAATGAAAACAATTAAGACATCTTTTTACACCATAAATACAGGATTCACTCGTTTCATTTTGCAGCGAGAGTTTAAGTGCTTTACAAAAGACGATAAACAACTCTAGTCAAAAATTTCTTTTTCTTCGAACGAGTTGCATTCTTTGTTCAATGTATACAAGGTAAATTGTAAATAAATGGCGTGATGGAAAGAACTAAAAGACGGCTGCACTCGTGAACGTACATTCGTACTCAGTGCATATTTTTCTCTCTCTTGTCAGGACGGCACACGATAGAAAAAAGGTGTTTCTTTACATTTCTGGATAAATTCTCTTAACATTTTGAGCAATTGAGCACCTGAAATGATTTACTTAGCTGCGAGTTTCAATTTTAAAGAATCCTAATGTTTATTTTAAATTTGAACTTATTTCACTTTTTTCTTTCATATTTTTTTCTAAATTACATTTTTACACCGTTGCTAATGAGAAACTTAACAATTATGTTACTCTTATATTCTTTTCAGTGCCATTTGTAGTTTCTGTTGCATTTCATTAATTACAAGTAGCTATTATGAGCTCTACACATTTCAATTGAATAAAGTTTTTTTTGAACTAATTTTGTTTTTTTTTATTAAATTTCAACATCAACCCCCATTTTTAGATGTAGAATCTCGATTTAAATGGTGATAAGATTTTCTTATCATTTGTTGATAATGTGTTGCCACTTCAAAAAACGAATGTCGGCAAAAAATGCTTGAAAATTACACAATTTGTTCATAGATGTTGCAAGGACATCTGAAGGACACACGATTGTTCATAAAAACCTTTTTTTTGTAGTTGAGAACCCTTTTCCTGAGCAAAACTGAAAGCATTTGTTTAATTAATGTGCGACACTTACAATGGAGCAGTCCAATTTTTGTAAACAGGCTTGATCGTCGGTGCTGAACTGTAAGTAAAAGAAAGAAAAATAATTAATTTAATTAAAAGGTCGTTTTTCCCTTAAAACTAATTTATTCGAAATCCGGTATTAAATAAATCCAACGGCATGTAGTTTTCTTTTTCTTTTCAAAGAACAAACATAAGAAATGTCGTAGTTTTGAAAAAATCTGTAGACTGTAAGTTTCATTCTATGTGCTCTGGTTAGAACATTGATCAATGGCAGCCGTTTCGAAATGTGAATCCACGCAATAAATTTCAGCGAAAGAGAAACGGCAGAGAGAGAGAGAGAAAAAACGCGTTGTCGTCACCACCAAGCCATAAAAATATTTTACCTGTTGTGCCACAGCACCTAAAGACAATTCACATATCGTTTCTCTTCATTGTTTCAAGTTCAGATACAATGGGCATGGATAAATGTCGAGTGCAACGAGACAGAAAGAGAGAGAGAAAACGAGAACAACAACAAAAAAAATAAGCGATGAAAAAGCAATATATTTGCATACGATCGTGCATCTCTCGACGACATTGATATCGTCGCTGGTTTTGGTAGCATATGTTCGAATAATCTCAAAATATGCACATTGAAAACGTTCCGCGCTCCGATAAAAACGAAGAGAATGAGAATCAGAAGCTAATTTAAGCAAAACGAACGAAAAAAAGAATCAGATCAGTGATAACCAACAATGATGTGCAGACACACGCATTGGCGCAGACTCTGGGCCCACAAATCGATCGAATTACTTGTAATATATTAGTTGAACGCGATTGCAAAGCTGTTGTTTAACGCACGTACTAAAAATCGTGTCTACATTGAAACGAAGAATGCAGTGATTGCATTTGCATTTTCAAGAGTTCCAAATGCTTCGATGCAACAACAAACGATGCTACACCAAATACCGGTTGCTCTTGCTTCTGCTGCTGCAATGTTGATGGATATTAAACAGCGCTGGATGGAAAAAGAGGGAGAGGAGAGAGAGAACAAATGAACGCATGCAATGTGCGTTTCTCACATATTCTTGGTTGGTCGTTCGTTGTTGTTTGCATCTCGACTCGATTAGCGTTTACGCTTGTGTATGCATTGTTTAACATAAACTTTGGCTTCTTAGCATCACAGATTAATCACCAAAGTTGGCTCAAGTTTTCGCAGAAAAATAATTGCATACACTTTTATTCCAGTTGTACGCGAATCTATCCACATTCACAGGGACGGTTTTTATTTTGCAGTCGCAGATGCAACCGTTCGCTGCTATCTCGTCGCTGGTCAGATGAAACACACTCACTCACTTCATCACTAAATGAACTCAACGCAAAATAATTGCATTTAAAGAGATTTTTATGTCGCATGCTCAAGCACAACAAATTAGAACACTTTTCAGTCTACGGACTCGTAAATTGCTATCCAAGGTTATTTTTTTTTCTTAACTTGAGTTTCGTTTTGCACAGGTCTTGTTTGTTTGAATAAACTCGTTTTCTCTCCTTCTTAATAAAATATTTTTAGCAGTGAAAAGGATGGATTACACGACCAAAAGTACTCTTTCCACAGACACATGTATGTGCGAAAACGAAAAAAAAACTCATAGATTTTAATGGACTTTATTCATAGAGTAACAGACGGAAAGAGAGAGAGAAAGATACATAGTGAAAAAATGCGGAGAGAAGGAGAGAAAAAAATTCAAAACTATTCAAAAGTTCGTATGATAGCTGATTTTGATGTTTATACAGTAAACGTTTCCACTTGACCTGAATCGATCAATTTCCAGAGCATTTTCAATACAAACAAAAAAAACGAAAAAAAACACAAATTCCTGAAATAAATGATGTTTGTTTGACATTAGCAGAAAATTTGCATGAAATTCCAAAAAAAGCCGAATGATCAAATCGTCGACTAATAACTGAACATTGGATTTAGCAATTTATTCGAATCGAGTGCAGCAATTTGCAAGAGGGTACAAACCGTATCAATATGCTAAGTGCGATTTCAGTGCAATGGTAAATAGGACACGGATGCCAAATGCGCTTTTGCGAAAAGAATACCAATTTTTTTTTTTGGTGTGTGTGTCATTCGAAAAGTACATTTATTTGTTGGAGGGATTGTCGAGAAGCATCATGGTTTTCTCATGCGCAGATACTATTATTCAACAGCGATTCAATCTGTTCCGCAGATAAAACGTGAAACATCCCGAATGAAAAAAAAAAAAACTATATTGAATTGATGCGCTGCTTTGCGACATATACATGAAATCAACTTTTGCGACACATTTTTATTTCAGCAGATAAAATTATGCAATGTGTTCGAAATATACGTGCTGTATGGAAATGAAAGCGTTACTGTTTCTATTCCATCTTGAAAATCAATTTCATTTTTTTGTCGCTCTCTTGTTGTCTATCTGCATTGTTGATATAGCCAAAGCGGCTGGTGTGGTGTGTGGATGAGGATTTAGCATGTGTACGCCGATCTAATTTTTTATTGTTCCACTTCAGTGAAGAAACTTTACGTCGAGCAGTTGCTGCCATATCAAAAACGTTTATTTGACAGACCCATTTTCGATAAGGCACAATCGCGTACACATGAAATCACACACATGATACACCAAAAATAACGGACCAAAACTGTCCGAATTTGCAAGAATGTACGAAACTTTTTTTTTAAATAGTTGTTGTTGCTCTCCTGTTCTTCGCTTTTTTTTTTTAAATTCATTTCATACGTTTTGCATCGCTTCACCCGAATGAATCAACACAGTGCATATCACATACCTGGCAAAATCAAATTGAAGAAGTGTCACGTCAGAAACCGAAAAAGATATATGTGTTCGTTTCACTGCATTGTAGAGAGAGGGAGGGAGAGAGAAAAAAAGAAATATGCTCGGTATACGCGCGCGTTCAATTTTTTTCCATTTGACTTCATTGTTTGTTGTTGACTTGATCCGTATGTATGCAAAAAAAAGCAAGTGTCAGCTCGGTATTTTAACAAAAGTTGAATATTTGCAAAATGTGATACACTGCCGCACCGGTATTTGAATTTTTCGGTATGCAATTCGTTTTAACTGAAATCACATCGTTTTTACCATATCAATGCATACGAACGTACATTTTAAATTACACAAACACAATACAAAAGATTACACACCGCACACATCAAGATTCATCACAGATACACCAACAAAAACTTTCTTGACTTTGTTCTCAATTTAATTTCAGTTTTGCCAGAAGGTTTACGAAATGCATGTTATTCTTATTTCTATCTTTTTTTCTCTCTCTTTTACGAAAAGTAAACATTTTTCGATGCTGTTGAAGCAAACGAAGTCTCATGCAAACACAAAAATTAGTACTATGCTCAAAACTGAATGCGTTTGGTGCTGGATATTTGTTAAAAGAGCCAAAAGCATGTTTAAAATTGGCTTTCTATTCGAAAGTTTCCTTCTACACATGAAACTTTCTCTCCGCATTCATTTTTCTATTACAGAAAGGATTCTGGAGTGTAGAATTTGGAGCAAATATTCAACAAAATCTTGACACAAATATGTTCAAGTTTTTGCAGGATGTTTACTTTCTTATCCAGAGACCTGGATCCCAAGTCAAACATGATTCAATTTTTGTTCTCATTTCCAACGATAACTTTCGACGTACGTATAACAGAATGTATCATTCGGATGGTTTTTTTTTGTTCGCCAGTTGTTTCAACGACACAAAAGTGTATAAATCCCTAATGATGCAACTCGATGTTTGTTCGTGTGAATTCGATACTTGGTTTTAAAAAAAAGAAGGCGGTTTGGGTTAATAAGAGCAAATGTCGGATAAAAATCGAGTGCAGCGGAAAAAAACCGTCTCGTAAATCTTTTTCTTGTTCATTGTACGGAGAGCACATTAGTTAACATCGGTTGACACATTCCTTTTTATATGTGTGTGCATGTACATTTGTTCTTGAATGTGTTCTCTTTTTTTTCGGCTTCGATTTCCACCGGCCAATGCAAAAAAAAGGATCCAATGTAATTGTAATGCATGTTTATTATCATTAGGTTTCAAAGTGCCTTTCATTTGTTTCTATAAAAGAGACAATTAAATTTACCGCTGACAAACGAAACGATACCTTTTCCGTCGCTTTCGCAATCATACACGCACACAAACACACATGTATTCAAAACACATGCAAATCAGCGCGGCATCTTTACATACCGTGTTTTTTTATTTTATTTTGTTTATATTTGGTCATTGCACTGTTGCTGCTGATGTGGTTGTTCTCGTTGTTGCTGTGCACAATGATTGAATAAATAAAAATGACAGAAAGCATTTGGAACGATTTCTTTCGTCTTTCGTTTGTAATTTTTTCGTTTTTTTTTTTATTGTCAATGCATCGTACACCAAATGAGCAACGGAATGAATGAAACTATTCTTTGCCATAGAAAGCAGCAAATCCCAGCTAATTTGGAATGTTCTCGAAATTCATATGGCAATGATTTTTTATGAATGTTGTTTTTTGTTGAGAAACATAGAGAAAAGCAGAGAGAGAGCGACAGAGAGAGAGTGAAAGATTTTTCTCTGATTTCATATTATATATTCGCGATGGCATTGCCAATTTAAAATCATAAGTCGGTTTACAACTGAAAACTCATTAAATTGCTGCACATATTCCATTTGAAATTTCCATTTCAGTACAATAAAAAAGAGAGAACACACAAAAAAGCGAAAACCAGTCTATTCTCTAGTAGTTTTGAAGTGCATGGTGAAATGTACGTATAAGTCGATGAAATCTATGTTATTTAGCATATGCTTTTTAGATGCATTCAATGCCTTTCATTTTCATTGTTGGTGCACCGAAAATGTGCGCACGGCGGCACACGTAAATTGTCGCCGTTGCCGTTGTCGTCGCTGCCGTTGTCGTTGATGCGCGCTTCCATCGGGCGGTAGTAATAGAAGTAATGGCTTAGAATCGAATTCAATGTGGTGTTTTCAACATAAAAATTCACACCATCTTATCAGCAGTAGCAATCTAGCATGGTACATACCATCATTATCAACACACGGTCACAGAGCGAAAAAAACACACTGGTGCGCGCTCACACTCGATGCTACATTTTTGCAATGATTTTCAAATCGAAAGCCAATGCATTTTTATTGCTAATGATTGCATGCAACATATGCATATCGTCGCCTGCTTGTTGAAGAGCTCGTCGAGTCCATGTTTTTCTTATGTTTATTTGAAAAATCGGCAGTGAAAAAAAAAACCGAAAACCATACAAGACGACGTTTTTTTCATTTCCATGCGGTTTTTTCTCTCTTCGTCATCTTTTTTTTCATGCACGAACTTTATACGATGGCCGCGTTAACAACCAACCTTACGAACTCACTACGTTTTTTTTGGTGAATTGCATAAGTTGAATGGATCTGAAATAGAAAAGACATACTGTGCACTGCCTGTGCTGAAAACATCAAAGAGAAATACAATACGAAAACATTATGCCGCCAATTTGAAGAGAATTTGCAAATGCGAATGCAAACAACACTCAAAATGTACGAGTATTTATTTATAGCGGCATGATATTGTTTCTTCGTTGAAGAAATTGAATTTGCTTGGCATGAATAAGTGAGCAAGGAATCTAACTTACGTGGTCGCTTCGATTTGTCACGCAATCAAATATGTTCAGGTGTTAAAGTGGTTTTGAACAAAAAATACAAAATCGATAAGACTCGGAGAATTCCATTATTGTATACGGTTTTGAAATCACATTTCGATGTTTTTGTGCAGAGACAAATCAATTCTGACAATTTTCATATTGTCGTTGTCAATGAAAATTCGGCATGTTTATTTTTGTGAATTATACAACCTGCATTGTTATTTACACAAATTGTAATTATGTGTCGTCAATTTGTGCAAAACAAATATCGACTTCCATAGGTGAATCCATCACACCGTTGTAATAAAATCAATTTTATCTGCGCGTGACGCGCTTCGCACTTATTGTGAGTGAGTAAATTCCATAAAAGTAATTCCTTTTGAAGTTGTTTTCAACTTTTCTTGGCTTCTTTCGAATTTTTGGGGAAATTGGTTCACTTTTTAACTCGATCAAAACAGTTGGAGGTAAATTCTACGCGTGTAAATATTTTATGTTTATTGTAAAATACAATCAGATCAAATTAGGAAGGAAATTGATAAGGTTTATTTTCTTGGTATTTATTTGTGTGCGGATTTGGGAAATGTACGCAAACATAAATACACCAACGCCCAATTCTATTTTTTGAATTCAATTGTTTGAATCAGATTTGATACGTACACAATTTCTACGATTAATTTATTTCGATTGGGCATTATTCGAACGTATGTGAATCTGTTCAAGTATACAATTCATGAGAAAATGTTGAGAAAAATAAATAAAAATCTCTCCTCTTTGAATTGTAGATGAGTGCATTTATTTTCCGTCCGCTCCATGTCTTGTGTGTTGAGCTTTCAAATAATTAAGTGTAACACGCGTCACCATGTGCTATACATTCAACAGGATTTCTTTCCATCTGTTTCTGGTGCCACCTTCTTTTATCGAATGTTGCCGACTGTTTGCATTATTTGTGTTCACAAAAGTCATTTTGTGGATAGTACGATTTAATCGACTCCGAGTAGATTTCCATCGAAACGAGATTCTTTTGTTGTGCGCCAACATTAAAATGGTGGATTTCTGTTTAAATGAAATTCTAGCGAAATGAATTCGCAATGGAAATCCACAACTGTAATGAAATTTAATTTCATTGTTGTCCTGTTGTCCTCGTCATTGCAAAAAGTGACGAGAGTGAGAGTGAATAAAAAAATCCATTAGCAAGGCAAGCTACATGCTGTACGAGAAAATGGGACATACAGTGCTTAGGTGGATGCAGGATGTGAGCACAATCGCAAAGCTAGTAGCGTTAATTCAATATTTATTCGAGCAATTCGCTATGGATTTGAAAGCTCAATGAATTGCATAGTTGGTTTTGCTTCATTTTTTAGGATTGTCGTCGTATGTGATGTTGCAAAAGCAATCTCCATCAGGTTTTCCCATTCAATTTTCATGCAGTTCTCGGCATGTTTTCAACGTCATGCTATTTGTGTCACGTTGTTTGTTTGTTTGACAATCTTTCGACTTTATCCGCGGTGCCCATGTGTGTTTCGATTTAATTTTCAGGCGTCACCCAATTGGGAGCATTTTATCTGTGTCCGTCAAACTTAGCTTCAGGATATGGATGAATCCCTTTTTCTACTTTCACGAAATATAAAATAAATTCATGAAATTATGTGGATATAGCTGTTATTGATTCGACTGTATTCCACTGGTTTGTTGTGTATCCGTTATCAGTCTGTCCCAGTTTTTCATTTTTTTCCGATAACAAACGGAAGACATGCTGTTTCAACTTAATTCTGATTCCAGTGCTGATTGCAAATCATAAATGCATTAAAACAGAAAATAAAACCAGAATCGAAAAAAATCGTATTGAGAAGATATTTGACTTTACGATCAAACAGAAAATGAAGTGTGGAAAAACCATTGAAAAAATAAAAGTGGGGAGACTTTTTAAATTGCATGATTCACCCAATCTTTAAGTATCTACTAAAGAGATAAAAATTAATTAGGTTTAAGTACAAAGTCTGAAGTGGCGCACGAAAAACCCTAAAAATCTTATCGAATAAATTCATTAGTATCAAATGGCCAAAGTCATAATTCAATTATGAAACGATAACATTGATGTTTCCGTCATGGATATTTTTGTTAGTTTTATAAATAGGTATCAAATCATTTTATTTGATAATTCGTCATTAACCCTTTCAGTGATATCCAATCTCTATGATGGGCTTAGAATATGCCAATGATATCAATTGATCTCATTTTTTTTATTTATTTCGAAAATTCCGTAATACAAGTTTTTTTTATCATTTTTGAGCCGATTGTTGCTGTTTCTTGAATGAACTTCTCTCATATTAGAAACATATAAAAAACAAGCAAAACGAGAAAAAGTAATTTTTGATATGAATGGATTTTTCACATCAAGATAAAAAATGAAACCAATTGATTTGAGATGCACACTTTAAATCAATTAAATCAGTTGATTTATTTTGACGTTCGGTCAAGTCAAATCAAATGATTTTTCTCTGACAGATATTCGTATCATTTGAATTATACAATATGGATATTTTGACAAATTGGTTTCGTATGCGGATTGATTAAACAGAAGCAAACCTATCGCAAAAGTATACTAACGTAATAGCTGCCAATGATAACTTATCATTCATAAAGATAATCTAATCAATTGCGATATTTTGGAGTTTTTATTGATTATTTCCGCCTAAGTTATCAATTAGACAATTGAAACTATCATCGCTGGCTGCAGTTTATATTCGGTGATCCATGTGAATACTTCTGAATTTTGGTGTGGGCAGATTTTTTTTTGGTAAAATAAAAGAGGTTGCAAAACTAGCAACAATAGTTTGTGCTTGTCGCTCAATTCGTTAAGATAAATATTAGGGCCGACAATTTAATCACATTTCCATTAAAAATATCAAAATGAAGTTACGTGATTGGGCTTTATATATAGCACAAAAAAGATTTTCCAGTAAGTTGGCAGTGTATATTGTTTCACAAGAAATTTCACTTTCAATCTGTACAATTTCAATTAAGATAACAATAAAGATAATAGCAGCAGAAATGATTTATGCAGTGACGATGACACACGAAATGGAACACACGAGCATAGAGATAGCCGACGAGGAATTAATACTTTTGATAAGTTTCGGCTTTTAATGTGGAAAAATATTTTACTCCAACGTCGACACAAACTGCAAACCATCATACAAATTCTCATGCCCATACTATTCACATCGAATTTGGTGTTTATGCGTAGCTTGGTTGAGCCGGTAATAACGAAAAACAGCACCATGTACAATAGCATTAGCCTAGACACAATATCTATACGGTTAGTATTTAACAAAAGTTATTCTAGTGATTTTCGAACCTAAACGATGGATTCTTTTAAACAGCAATACAACAGTTTTTACAACTGATCCCTTGAAAGAGTGGCAGTTAGTATATTACCCGAAGAATGACATATTGGAAAAGTTACTAAATCAAGTCTCCCAGAATTTAGAACTAGATGGAGTAGTGGGTGTGAAGCGTTCAAATTTGGTTGAAAGAATGATGATTGGACGAGAAATGCTAGCAGGTGTAATATTCAACCATCCAGCGGTATTGTATTAATGAATTTTTCGAAAAAAAATCACAAATTTATGCCACCAAAATTTCAGAATATAACAGAGCTGCCAAAGAATTTGGTCTATACATTACGTTTTCCGAGTGAATTACGTGCAACTATCGATGCCAATCCATTGGTGTATAATTGGCAAACAAATTTACTCTATCCAATATTTTCCGGAGGAGGACCACGCGGTGGCATTTCGGATAGTGGCGGAGCGCCATCTTATCACTCTGAGGGATTTTTAGCCATTCAAAATGCGATCGCCCAAGTTTACATGCAAATGAATTTGATTGGATCAAATGGTGAAAATGGCTATGAATTACCGGATAAAATTGAAATGCAACGATTTCCGTACCCACCATACGTGCATGATGTTCTTTTAGACGGCTTTGAAAAGGCGACCGGAATATTTATTATGCTAAGTTTTGTGTATCCGATAATAAGCACGGTTCGTTTTATTGCGGTTGAGAAAGAAAAGCAATTGAAAGAAATTATGAAAATTATGGGCATGCCAGTTTGGTTGCATTGGACCAGTTGGTTTGTGCGCACAATGATTTTCATGCTCATTTCCATCACATTTATGGTCGCATTGCTGAAGGTACAGTCATTTTTTTCGTCATCTAATTTTTCATCATTTTGTTGTTTTTTTTTTTTTCATTCACAAAATTTCCAAACACAATTTGTTGACTTTCAGATACCAATGTTTGAATTATCGATCGCTGTTTTTACACACTCTAATTGGTTTACGATTTGGGTGTTTTTATTTGTTTATAGCATTGCGACGATAACATTTTGTTTCATGTTAAGCGTACTGTGTTCAAAAGCAAATACAGCGGCTGCCGCAGCCGGTCTTATGTGGTTCATTTCATATGTGCCATTTATATTTTTATCAAAAGATCATGTACGAGTGCCAAGAATAATCGAAATGATTGCATGCCTCTCGCCAAACATGGCAATGGCATACGGATGCAAAATTATTGTTGACATGGAAAGAAGCGGTTTTGGATTACAATGGTACAATTTTTGGGGTTTAAATGGATGTAAAAATGAGCTTACGGTTGGAATAACCATGTGCTGCATGCTAATCAGTGCACTTGTATTTCTTTTAATTGCACTTTATATTGAAAAATTATATCCCGGCGAATATGGTGTGCCGGAAAAATGGTATTTTCCATTCAAAACGGAATTTTGGACAGACAAATGTATACCCATACAAGATATTTATAACGATCGTCTTGATTCAACAACACATAGTTCGAGTGAGAATTTCGAAGCGGAGCCTACGAATTGTGTGGCCGGTGTTCGAGTGAAAAATCTTCGAAAAATTTTCGATCATGGAAAAGTTGCCTGCAAAAATGTTACTATTAATATGTTTTGTGACCAAATAACGGTGCTGTTGGGACATAACGGAGCCGGCAAGAGCACAACCATCAAAATGTTGACTGGAATGATACCACCGACATCGGGTACCGCCATCATAAATGGATACGACATTCGAACCGATCTCAAGAAGGCGAGAGAATCGATCGGAATATGCCCACAACACAATATTTTATTTGATGAATTAACCGTTCGTGAACACATTGAAATTTACTCGCGACTTAAAGGATTGAATTGGGACGTAGTTGACAAGGAAATAATGAAATATGTGCGATTACTTAGTTTGGAATCAAAAATCGATACGCCATCAAAAGCGTTATCGGGTGGAATGAAGAGAAAACTTGCGTTTGGAATCGCTTTGTGTGGTGATTCGAAAGTTGTTTTATGTGATGAACCGACCAGCGGCGTGGATCCTTCAGCCCGACGTGAACTCTGGGATTTGATACAACGTGAAAAGTTCGGTCGAACCATAATTTTAACGACGCATTTTATGGATGAAGCCGATGTGCTTGGTGATCGAATCGCAATTATGGCCGATGGTGAAGTGAAATGTTGTGGAACACCGTTCTTTTTGAAGAAACGTTTTGGTAGTGGCTATCGTTTGACTTGTGTTACAAAACAGGGCTGTGAATCAAGTGAAGTGACGAAAGTTCTTCAAGAGTATATCCCTGAAGTAGAAATTCGAAAAGAAATCGTCGGCGAACTTTCATACTCTTTGTCAGATGAACATACCGACAAATTTGGCAGAATGTTTGAGCGCATTGAAAATGATCTTAATGCGTTAAAAATTGACCGTTTTGGTGTTTCGTCAACCGAACTGGAAGAAGTTTTCCTCAAAGTTGGAAGTGATCACAAAACTATGAATAAAAACGAAGATAAAGAGACGATATGTGATGCAAGCGGCAGTGATTTAGAGTTTTCAGAAAGTGACCTGCTTCACGGTTTAAGATTGCGAATAAATCAATGTTATGCCATGTTTAAGAAGAGATATTACTGTTGGATCAACGATTTTTATTCATTTTTAGGTCAAAATGTGATCGTAGTTATTTTTATTGCAATTAGTTTAGCATGTGTTCATATGGCTAAGAATTTCACGATCCTTTCCAAATTGGAAATGTCTTTAGACGTTTATGGGGATACTGTGACCATGTTGCAGACACCATCCGGAAAAAACACATTTAAACGGTAAAATTGTGAATATGTTTTCGACGATAGCGATTTTAAATAGTGTTTTCTTGATTTCAGTGTGATTGAGCAGTACCGTAATGATTTGAGAGACGGTCTCGATGAATTTTCGGAGGATATTCAGAAGCATTTTTTGGATCTTGGTGCTCAAATACGAATTCGATCAAATACACGATATTTGATTGGCCTCTCGACTGGCGACGACAACAGTTCACTAAATGCGTGGTTTAATGATCAATTATTTCACACGGCACCACTTGCGCTCAATGTGCTACATAATGCGATTTTAAGAGCAAACTTCGGGAATGATTATAGTATAAAAGTATCGAATTGGCCAATATCGTACAGGCCTGAATCGTTGGAGCTATTGATTGGAAATGGCGATGACATGGGTACTCAACTTGCTGTTAATATGACATTTGTCATGGCTTTCATATCAGCATTTTATGTGATGTTTCACATTCGCGAAAAGGCATCCAAAGCAAAGCTATTGCAATTTATTAGTGGCATTGATGTATCGACATTTTGGATTTTATCATTTGTCTTTGATTATGCAACACACATAGTAACATGCTTCATCGCGTGCTTTACGATGTATGTCTTTGAAGAGAATGGGTGGTCAACCGTTGAAGAATTAACGCCATTCTTTATTATTTTGACTATTTTTGCACTTTCATCATTGGCCGTCACATTTGTGTCATCATTTTTATTTTCGACTACTTCATATGGATTTGTTAGTTTGACCATCATATTCATATTTACGGGTAATAATTCAAACATCTTTTGTACGAATTAATATAAATTTATGTGTCCATATTCTTTGCAGGAAACAGTTTTTTCAATTTGATCAACATTTTGTCATTGCCAGCATTGAATCTAACGGAAACGGCAAACATGTTAAAATCGATATTTCTTATTTTTCCACACTATGCACTCGGGTATAGTTTATTTAATTTGAATCAACTGAAAATTGAGTCCGAAGTGTGTCGATTGAAATTTGAACAAATGATTTCAAATGATGCATTTCGTCCAGAAATCAGTCCGCTCAATTTCACATCGCTTGAAAATAATACACGACTATCGGATCAAAATCTTTGGAAAAACTCGACTATTCCCCACGACCCGATTACCTTTTCGAGGCCATCGTGTGATGTAGATTACTATGCTTGG